TAAAAATAGTCATTAAGAAAGATATAATATTTAAATAAATTCTCAGCGAAGGTATTTGAGGTGAATTTCTGGAATGGAAATGCCCGCTAGCTCTGATGTACACATAGTAGCTGAGTATCAAACGGCGTCTATTTCTGTGCGAGAGTATGATCGCTAGACTCTCTTCCGGGGTCTTTACGAGCCAAAGGAACAGACGGGCCGCGTGTAGACCCGCGCGTTCGTCAAATCCCGATTAATAATCGCATTAATTGTCGATTCGTCTCTGGCACGTGGAACAACGCTGGATACATCCGTTTGGCCCGGTACCGTGAAAACAGAGGCTACACCGACGATCGATCAAGGGACGGACCAGGTCCGATTTAACCGATGATACAATCTCGTTTAACCGGGCGAGGGTATCAAACGGCGAATGGATTTATGATAGCCACGCGGAGTCATAGATGAATGCACTCGCCGGCCAGCCAAGTCTGATGCCAATCCTCGAAAATCGAGCGAAATCCCAAATTCTTTTCTACCTCCTAATTCGCCTCTTCGTCTGGCAATGCATTTCAGCTCGTCGAACTTTTTTTTTTATCCAATTCCACGTTAAACGTTAAATAAAATTAGAAATGTTCAAATGTTTCTTTTATTACGTTTCATATTTCAGAAATGGAAATGCTGTAACTTGTCGATTATTCCTGAGGTAATTTTTTTAAAAAATTCTCATCACTCACCTCTCTTGAGTGACTCCAAGGCCTCGGCAACGAGTTTTTGGTTCAACCCGCAGAGGTTTCCCGTGAGTTTTTCGCACTTCTTGTGACAGGCCATGTCGCAATCTATTTTTTTTAGAACGCAACGGCATTTCATACGAGCTTATCAGAGAGCTTCGATGCACCTCGTCACGGACACCCAATCGGGTCTAAATTTAATCGTCAACTAAGCCGCATTATGAGGCCTAGAATATTATTATGACACGTGGCGATACGGTTTATAAATAAAATCACAAAGTGATTAACAACAACAACAACAATTTATAATTTATAACAGATCCAATGATAAAAGTAGTTTTATAATAAAACGTGTGTTTATCGAAACCGAGCCGGAAGTTACAAATAACTCGATTCCATTTTATTGATAATTTCATTTCCTGTAAACAGACTAGCTGGGGGTGTCGTTGACTCTACGACGACGATCTTATATAAGAAAAGGAAACCTGGCTCTATAACGAGTGACGCCACCGTTGATTTAGTATATAAAATTTCATGCGAAAAGCTGCAGACAATAAACGTACACCAAGTGAGTTAAATTGTAAGCCACAATCAAAACTGTTAGTCTGATTATTATTGAATCATTAAAACGAAACAGACAAACGATTGATAAAAATAAAGTAAATTGATTAATAAAAAGAATGATAAATTTATAAATTAGGGAACAATGTCGATCGTAATTTCTTAACAGCACACAAAATTTTTAGTCTAATTATTATTGAATAATTGCATTAAAACGAAACAGACGAACGATTGATAAAAATAAAGTAAATTGATTAATAAAAAGAATGATAAATTTATAAATTAGGGAACAATGTCGATCATAATTTCCTAACAGCACACAAAATTTTAGATAAATCAGATAAGTACTAGATATCCTCGGTGATCCATCGAATCCAGAATCGTTGCTCCTCGTAGAATTGATCCTCTTGTGTTCAGGATCGTCGTCGAGCTCCGTACACGTAGAACTACTACTTCCTGTGGTCGCAGTGCTCGTGGTACTTCCGGTGCTGTCGCTGCTCACCGAAGGCGTCCTCGAATGATGTTTTTTCCTCTTGATCTTCGCTCGACGGACTTTGGACAGGTCCCTGGGCGTGGCAGTCAACAGAGCCGAAGGAGTAGTATAAAACATCCTGATGAGATCCACCGGACGTTGCACAGGCGCGTTCTTAGGACTGTTCTTAGCACCGGTCTTGTTCTCCACTGGTTTAATCACTTCCTGCGACTTCGAGGAATTCTTCTTGGAATCTTTACTAGCCTTCTTCGAGTCTTTCTTACTGGCTTTCTTAGTCGTCGACGATTTCTTCTTTCTGACAAGCTTCTTCTTCTTCGAGGATTCCGGAGTGTCCTCCGGAGTACAGTTCACGCTGACGTCCTTCGAAGGCACGGGTGTGACGTCCTTCTCAGCGTCGTCGACGTTAGACAAGTCGTTATGATTGTTCCATTTGGATATTCTTGGCTGGACACCGTCCGACCATTCGTTCGTCGGTGTCTTAGGCTCGTCCTCCTCGTCGACTGGTTGCGAATCAGTTTTCGTAGGCGTTGGTTCTTGAACGATATTTATCAGAGGCACGGAGACGTCGAAGACAGGTGTGGACGCTTCGGAAACTGGCAAGCAAGTGTCAGGAGTGCTCTTGGAAGATGTCGTCGACGCCGTTGAATCCTCCCTCTTCACCGGAGCTTTCTTAATAGTAGAATATAATTCTTTATTAGTATCGATCGCTATCGACAGATCCTTCCTCTTCTTCAATCCTTTCTTAGCCGGCTCGGGTTTCGTCGAGACCGCGCCGCGTTTCGACGACTCCTCCTCGATTACGGGGATATTACTGAACTCCGACGGCGGAGTGGCGACGCTTATTTTAGCACCGGTCTCTTTTTTCTTGTCCAGACCGACGACGCCGAGGTCCTCGACCGGCTGACCCGACGGCCCCTCCGAGCTCTTGGAAAACGCGAAACCCTTCGGCCTCGTCACCTGCGGGCTCTCCGGGCCGCGGATCTCGTTCCAAAAATCGATCGACTCGGTGGAAGCGCTCTTCGATATTGTACCACCGTTTAGCAATAATTTCTCACTAGGCATTTTCTCATCCGTTGAACTCGATTGCTTCGATTCTTTAACAGATTTCAAATCTTCTTTTATCACCTTGTCATCATCCTTCTTCTTGTTCTCTTTCGAATCCGTCTTCTGCGCGTCACTCTTTCGAGCTAAGGTCGTCTTAGTCACATGCTCAATCGCGTCATCGGGAGAAGAGGAAGCCACCGAATCGTTCCTCTTCGATCGTTCGCCAGGGGCACCGATCGTCGCGTGGGCGTTCCTCAAGGTCACGGCTTCGTCCACGTTCTTTCCCGGGAACGGCGAACTCGCCACCTCGTCGCGTACGTCGGCTTTCGTCGGCACCGCTGGCAGGCACTCAGTCGGCTCGCGTAACCAACGCTTTGGCGCTTCTACGGCATTATTTTCATCCGTATTAATTTTAGACGCTTTTGGCAACCGCTCCTCCGCCTCGGCTACGCTGGCGCTGCTCGGCCGCGACAACGGGTCAACAATTACAGTCACGTTCCTCTCTTCGATCCTCTTCGCCTCGACGTCTTTACTCGCATCGGGAAACGCGGCGTTCTTCGTCACTGGACCGATTGGCCATTTTTTATCTAAGATCTTTTTGTCTGAACCGACTGCGTTCTTCGAGATGGGAGATCCAGGAGTGTCTACAGTCTTCTTTACTTGTATAGATGTTTCTTTCTTTGATTCAGAGGTAAGAGATTTGGGAGAGTCTGGGCTCTTCTTGATTAAAATTGGTGTTTCTGGTTTTTTGTCCGAAATTGTGGGGGTCTTCGTTAAGGGAGATCCTGGAGATTCTGTGATCTTCTTTTCTGGGACTGAAGTTTCTTTCTTCGATTCAAACTTAAGAGAAGATTTAGGGGAATCTAGACTTTTTTTGTTTAAGACTGGTGTTTCTGGTTTCTTATCTAAAATTGTGGGGGTCTTCGTTAAGGGAGATCCTGGAGATTCTGTGATCTTCTTTTCTGGGACTGAAGTTTCTTTCTTCGATTCAAACTTAAGAGAAGATTTAGGGGAATCTAGACTTTTTTTGTTTAAGACTGGTGTTTCTGGTTTCTTATCTAAAATTGTGGGGGTCTTCGTTAAAGGAGATCCTGGAGGTTCCACGATTTTCTTTTCTGCTACAGAAATGTCTTTCTTTGATTCGATGCTAAGAGGAGATTTAGGAGAGTTTGGACTCTTCTTATTTAAAACTGGAGCTTCTGGTTTCTTATCCAAAATTGTGGGGCTCTTCGTTAAGGGAGAACCTGGAGGTTCTACAACTTTCTTTTCTGCTACAGAAATTTCCTTCTTTGATTCGATGGTAAGAGGAGATTTAGGGGAGTCTAGACTTTTCTTGTTTAAAACTGGTGTTTCTGGTTTCTTATCTAAAATTGTGGGGGTCTTCGTTAAGGGAGATCCTGGAGATTCTATAATTTTCTTTTCTGCTATAAAAGTTTCCTTCTTTGATTCGATGGTAAGAGGAGATTTAGGGGAATCTGGACTCTTCTTGTTTAAAACTGGTGTTTCTGGTTTCTTATCCAAAATTGTGGGGGTCTTCGTTAAGGGAGATCCTGGAGGTTCCACGATTTTCTGTTCTGCTATAGAAGTTTCCTTCTTTGATTCGATGGTAAGAGGAGATTTAGGGTAGTCTGGACTCTTCTTGTTTAAAACTGGTGTTTCTGGTTTCTTATCTAAAATTGTGGGGCTCTTCGATAAGGGAGATCCTGGAGATTCTGTTGTCTTCTTTTCTGGGACTGAAGTTTCTTTCTTCGATTCAAAGTTAAGAGAAGATTTGGGAGAATCTGGACTCATTTTGTTTGAGGCAGTTGCTTCGTTTTTTGATGTTGAAAGATCTGGAATTTTCTTATCAAACACAGAGGGAACCTCATTCTTTACTACAGAAGTATCAGGAAATTTTTGAGAGTCTGGACTCTTCTTGCTTAAACCAGTTGGTTCGCTCGACACAGAAGTGACAGGAACATCTGTAGTCTTCTTCTCTAACACATTAGTAGTCTCATGTTTCGATACAAAAGTACCAGGAGATTTCGTAGAGTCTAAACTCTTCTCATTTGTCACAGAAGAATCCGTAGCCTTCTTGTCTAATACAGTTTTAGCTACAGACTTTGGAGAATCTTTAACTTTGTTCTCAGCAATTTCTGTCTCATCCTTTTTTGGAATGCCCTTACCCTTCTTCAGATTCTTATTTTTTTCAACCTCCGAAGGTGCATCATAAATTTTCTTCTCTTCAGACTTCTGAACAAATTGACTATCAATCTCCAATTTCTTAAGAGGATCGCTCTTCAGAGTATCCGTAGGCGTTTTCACAGTGAAGTGCACACTGTTCCTCGAAGTATCTTTCACATAAGGCTTCTTAACAGGCAGGACAATTTCCGTTTCCGATTCCTCTTCAACTTCGAACCTCCCAGGTCTCATTAATTTCTTCGGAACTGGTATTCTCACGCTCTCCCTGAACTGTTCCACCGGCCCACTGTTCACTAATACAGTAGAAAAATCACCGACGCTATTACTAGCTTCCACCTTGAACAATCTAGGCTGCCTCCGCGCCTCCTCTTCATCATTCTCGCTCGTCTGCACGTCTCCAGACATCTCACTCGACGTTTCACATTCCCTATTATCCCCAGGCGGTGAAGGCTTGTTACTGCTTTTCTTCTTCTTCTTCAGCTTCTTCAACGTCTTCATCTTCTGGGCAGCAGCCTCGTCTTCCTCCTGGGACACTGGCTCTCCGTCGCCGTTTCTGAAAAACCCAGGGACAGTCCTAGGCCCTCCGATAGATCCCTTTTTTATCAAAGTCCCCCTACGCACTTCGTTCTCGATCTCCGCCTGCTCTTCAGCAACCAGAGTGTCCAAGACCTTGGCCTGCACCTGCGCGTAAGCCACTTCCCTCTCGATCTGCTCAGGGTCCAACTGTATATCCGCGGAGGACCTCCTCCTCGTGAATCTTCTCCGGACTTTATTCTTCATCTGCTGCAACTCGTCCTCATCCTCGTCCGTTTCCAAACTCACCTGGTGAAACAGTTGCAGACGTTTCTCCTCTTCTTCGAGTTTCTTATCCTTGATCAGGTACTTCTCCAGTAGTAATTCGCTGACAGACTTCTCATGCTTCTCGTAATGCTCCCGTAAAGCAGGATTGTCCTTCAGTGCCTGGCATCTGATTTTTATCGTAGGTCTGTCGCGGCGCAGGTGATTCCTCTGCTGGCTGGTGTCTTGCGTCGTGTGGATCCTTGGAGTCGATACGTCGATGTCTGCCGTGTCGATCACCCGTCGAGGCCGGCTGACTACCGGCGAAGGTGAGTAACGGCGTAGGGTCGATAGTGGAGACTCGGATATTGTTGATAAATGTGGAGAGTACCGTGACAGAGGCGTGTGAAACGGTCTATGTACAGAATTTTGTCAGACAAAGGATTCTGAATTCGTTGCAGACGCTCCTTACTCAGTGACAGTCAACGCATAGCATTATAGAATTTGTTATTATNAGACTCAATTTAGAGTTTGATAACATTTTTCAAACTTGGATTTTATAGTAGAAATAAAGAAATAAGACTCAATTTAGGGTTTGATAAAATTTTTCAGCTTGGAATTTAAATGGGAATGGTTTAACATTTTATTATATTCATTTTTCTTCATGCAGGGCCAGTCGAAATTACTGGGACTGCAAGACTAGTCAGTTTGATTTTATTATTTAGAGTTTAAGAATATAAATTGATAGGGATGAAGATACTTTTAATTTAGATAAGAACACTTTTGGGTATTTAATTTCGTTTTTAATTTTACTGAGTGAAATGTGTTATAGATATTCTAAGGGTCAGTCGTTGTTTGGCCGGTTGCATAAGCTGTATCTTGTAAGGAATTGTGTGACGCATAACCCGAATCACTCTGGCCTGATAAACTCTCCCCGACTCAATGCCAGAAGCGCGGTTCCTCCTGCGTTTCGATTACGTCGCGGGGTTAGCAACAGGGAAGCCTAGAACAGTTGCCGTACGAATTTGGCTCGGCTACTGACAATGACTGACAATCTACGATTTATGAATCGATTATACGATTGGTAGGATCATTTGTTTATTGGTAGGTAGCTATAGTTGTCGGATGCAAAAAATATTCTATCAAATTTCCTTGTAAATTCCTAATCGTTAAGAAGTAAACTTCTAAAGCATTCGAGGTAGAAAATAATTGTATACGACCTTTTTAGTAAGTGGTAGTAGTATCTACAACTTTTACTTGAAGCATTTTTCGAAATTCCGAGAAAAAAAAATTTTCGATTTTTCCGACATTTTTCCAAGGGGTACCCCTTCAGATTTTGCGAAATTTTCGTTTTTTGTCCATAACTTCTAAACCATTGGAGATACGGGAAAATTGCATCAGACCTTTCTTGTAGAGGACGACGAGATCTACAATTTCCATGTAAAAACTTTTTGCTAGCATCAATATTTAACGAGTTATTGACGAAAAACGAAAAAACAGTTTTTTGCAAATAACTCGTAAACTATTAATGCTAGCGACAAACTTTTATATGGAAATTGTAGATCTCGTCGTCCTCTACAAGAAAGGTTTGATGCAATTTTCCCGTAAGTCCATCGGTTTGGGAGTTATTGACCAAAAACGAAATTTTTTGTCAAAAGTTGGCTGTTTCGACGGTGGAATGGTCGGATTTTGTGAACATCAATAAAATGCCAAATAATCATACGTAACTCGTTAAATACTGAAGTTAGATGAAAAATACATAGAATCTTTCTTGTAGAAGACATCAATGCCTACAACTTCTGTAAAAAGTTGTAATTCCCAAATACAAGAAATATCCTATACAATTTTCTTTCACTTCCATTCGTTATTTCGAATTCCATGTTACGACTTTGAAAATGCAAAACAAATTCCTTCTCATATTTCATTTTCTAGTTTATTTCGCCTAATAAAATGATGGATGCTAACATGGTTTCAACGTAATTGCAAAATGTTAATCCGGTGAAGGTTCGCGTAACGAATTCTGGCATCGTAGCGAGAGTAGCACATCAGTCTAGAGTATTATCACGTGGAAACAAACGGCGTCCAGAACTCGACACGTCTGTCTATTTTTAAATTACCAAAAATCTCCGGCTGGCAATTCGCGCGGTCTGATTTATCCGTAAAGCCGATCAATTAATCGCCACCTCGGATTAACGGCAGCTAACCAACCAACACCGGCTAAGTTTGACGGATCGTGTGTCATATTCGCGGGTTGCCAAAATCCGGCAATAAACCCGTTCTATTCTGAACGTCTCTGTGAGGGCGAGATTTCACGCCCGAGTTAGCACCAAGGGAAAATTTTCCTTTTCGAAGAAAACACACGTAGACTTATTCTTAGCTTGTAATCTCTTTGTTTCACTTTTTGGAACCGTTCCGCGTTAACTGTCCACCGGAGAGAGGAGCTTCTGCAAAGAGAAAGGGAAGAAAGCAAGGGACGAGATTCTCAGAACGCTATTTCTGCGCCGACCGGTTCAAAGCGAATTCAATCTTGCTGCCTTAATTAAAACAAATCATTATTCTAATCTAATATACATCTGGTCCTTTCTAGGCAGAATTTCAAGTTCGGGCCAGAGTAAACAAGGTGGCCAAAAAACACAGTGCTCTAAAAAAAGAATCCGATAGACAGGAGTCGAAATTTAAGAAGCGAGAAGAACAGAAGGTAAGTGAATTTTTATAAGAAGAATTTAAACAAATTGCGTAAGAATTGATCTTACCGTGGCGCGCCAGTCATTAACGAACTGTGGTTGGAAAAAGCTCCCCCATAGTAATAGGGAAGACCGTCACCGTAATAAGGCATCGCGGCTAATTTATCCTTTCACAGGTTTTTTCTTTTCACGTTCGTTGGATTCGTGACACAGAAATTTATTGAAAACACTTTGCAGCACTGTTAGCCGTTCGACGCTCTCGGAGACNAAAAAAACTCGAGCATGCATGAAAGGTAATTATGAGTACACATGCACCGGCTGAATGTCAGTCGGACTTGACGTCGGTGGTAACGATTAACGATTACGGTTTCCAAGCCAAAACGCTCGTCTATTGTTTTACTTCGTGGAATTCTTGAATTATGGAACATTCTTGTACATATCTTGGAAATTCACTTATTTTACGTCACGGCAAATTGATTATATTTTTCTTTCACGTTTTACTGTTTTATAGTAAGAAATATTTGATATCGTCGAGGTGCATCGAAGTACTTATTCGGATTAATCAGATTTGAATTTTTACTTGGCTTACCGTCACATCTGAGACCCTGCTTGAACAGCCCGTATAACATGGAACCGCAGTGGTCGCAAAAGGTCGGCGACATGAATGTGTGCGGCCGGAACCTGTGAGGCACATCTACCTTGAAACGCTCCTTCAAGTACTGCCATTGAACAAGTATCAACAGAATTAGAAATGATTCTGCGTGGGCCTCGGGTGTTGCGTTATTTTCAACAAATAGCGTGATCGCGCGCAGCCACCAGAAATACTATACCGATCTTCTATTAAAATAAATAACAATTCTGCATACCACGCGCAACGTTTAAACAAATAGTTGTACAACGCATAAAACTTTTATAATCGATCAGTCGAATTTTTTAAGAATTCTTTTA